GGTTTTTCTGAAATTTGTCCATCATTTGCAATAGCTCGTGTTTTTGTAAAATGAAAAAGGAGTGTAAACATAGTATTTGTTCTTAAAATTTATTCACAGCCAGGAAGTGGTGGTGCATGTTTTTAGTCCCAGCACTCAGGAGGCAGAGGCAGGCTGATCTCTGAGTTCAAAACCAGGCTGGTCTACAGAGCTAGTTCCAGAACAGCCAAGGTTACACAGAGAAACTCCGTCTTGAGGGGGAAAAAAAAATCACAAAAACTCATTAGTGGCAGAGTTGCTAAAATGATAGTCTTTTTTATTGAAACACAAACTTTTCCATAATATTTTATGGAATATAAAGAGACAAAGGGTTAATTAAATAATTAACTGTGCGTGTGCACGTTTCTGTGGGTGGATATGTGCATGTGTGAGAGCAGGCCCACAGAAGGGTGACAGATTCCCTGGAGCTGGAGTGGCAGCCAGTCGTATGCTTTTCTGTCTATAGTAAGGCTCTGTCCAAATGTCGCCTCTCCATAACTAGGGTCTGGATATAAAATACAGCGCCCCATGTATGTAACCACTCGGTATCCAGGTGATGGCAGTTTTGGAAGGCTACAGAGAACTTGGAGAAATGGGATGGGCTCTGAGGTTTACAGCTCTACCATGCAGCCTGTCTCATTCCAGTTTCCTGGTCTGCTGAAATGGGAGCCAGCAGCTACCTCACATCTATCCCCACAGCCATTCCTTCCTCCCATGATAGATCAGATCAGATCAAACTGTAAGCCAGAGTAACCCTGTCATCTTTGTCAGGTCTTTAGTCACAGCAGCAAAACGTACCTAACACAATGCCGTCCCTTATTGCCCTGCAGTGGCAGCTCTGTCACTCAGTGTACCCTCACCTGCTCTGCTGTTATTGTACATACAGGAGCAGACTTATCTGCTTCCTCAGTTCCTCCCCCAAGAAATGACCTTTCTTCTCTCTCTCTCTCTCTCTCTCTCTGTGTGTGTGTGTGTGTGTGTGTGTGTCTGTCTGTCTGTCTGTCTGTCTGTCTGTCTGTCTCTGTCTCTGTCTCTGTCTCTGTCTGTCTCTTATGGTTTAATGAGACAGGGTTTCTCTGTGTAACAATCCTGGATGTCCTGGAACTCACTCTGTAGACCAGGCTGGCATCAAACTCACAGAGATCCACCTGCCTCTGCCTCCCGAGTGCTGGGATTAAAGGCGTGCGCTACCGCCCAGTGGGCCTTCCTTTTCTTTTAGAGGAATTGGACATTAAACATACTGCTAACCCCCTCTATAAATTCCACTGTGGACCATTTAGTAAGGTGACTCTTTAGTCCAAGGGTTTAAAACTTTTCTGCTGGGCTGGAGAGATGGCTCAGAGGTTAAGAGCACTGGCTGCTCTTCCAGAGGTCCTGAGTTCAATTCCCAGCAACCACATGGTGGCTCACAACCATCCATGATGAGATCTGGTGCCCTCTTCTGGTGTGCAGATATACATGGAAGCAGACTGTTGTATACATAATAAATGAATAAAATCTTTAAAAAAAAAACTTTTCTGCTATGGTAGGAATCAAAACTACAGCCCACGGGGCTAGAGAGATAGCTCAGTGGTTAAAGCACTTGTTCTTGCAAAGGGTCTAGATTTGGTTCCCAGCACCCACATGATGGCTCACAACCTTCTGTAGCTCCAGTTCCAGGAAATCCAATGCTCTCCTCTGGCTTCCATGGGCATTGCATACACTTGGTACACAGATACACCAGAATAAACTACAACCCCAGGTGGTGGTAGTGGCACACACTTTTAATCCCAATACTCAGGAAGCAGAAGTAGGTGAATCTCTTGAATTCAAGGCCAGTGAAACTCTGAGTTTGAGACTACCCTGGTCTACAGAGCTAGTTCTAGGATGACTAGGGCTACACAGAGAAACTGTTAGTACTCAGGGGTCTGTACTGGCCTGTCCTTGGAGTTCTGACAGGATACACCCTCAGCAGCAGGCACTAAGAGCACCACCTGTGCACATTCACTATGTCCCCTTTAAAAGGGCCCTGTGCACCTCCCTTCTTTCTTTCTCTCCCTCTCTCCTCTCTCCTGCTGCTTCTGTCCCCAGAGGCTGGTCTCCCCACCAGAACGTAAATCTTACATTCCCTTTCTACTAATAGAAAACCCTCCAGATGAACTCTGTCACATGGTGTCTTTCTCTCTCAAACAGCTTTTTTTTTTTTTTTTTTTTTTTTTTTTTTTTTTTGTTTTTCTAGACGGGGTTTCTCTGTATTGCTTGGGAGGCTGTCCTGGAACTTGCTCTATAGACCAAGCTGGGTTTGCCTGCCTCTGCCTCCCGAATGCTGGGATTAAAGGTGTGCGCCATCACCGCCTGGCTCAAACAGCTTTTTAAAATTACAACAGAACCCCTGTCTCAAAAAAGAAAAACAAAGGAACAAATCAGCTGTTTCTTTTTTCTTTTTTTGGTTTTGGTTTTTTGAGACAGGGTTTCTCAGTAGCTATGGAGCCAGTCCTGGCACTCACTGTAGACCAGGCTGGCTCACACTCACAGAGCTCTGCCTGCCTCTGCAAGCCCATCCACCCACCCCTGCCAAGTGCTGGGGTTAAAGGTCTGCACCACTACTGCCCACATCAGCTGTTTCTTAAAGCCTAGATGGTAGCGCTCACTTCCACTTGCATCCTATGGACGCATGTAGCTGCAAGGGAGTCTGGGAAATGCCTCATTTTCCATGGTAATGCCAGGGCCAGCAGTCTGTCACCAAGGGAAAGTCTGAATGGGCACACAGAGCCTTGTCGGTGCCTGATTTCCCGGGTCAGTGACTGCTACGAAGGATTGGTCAGCCTGTCTGAAAGATGCCATTCTCACCAAGCACTTTGCTAATAAGCTCACTCTCTTCTTTCATCAGGCACTGGAGATGAGGTAATGTCCAGTGATTGTGTCAACCAGAGGTCAATTTTCAAGTAAGGCCATTGCACATATGTCTGTAGTGCTCCCTGTTGGCCAATAGTCTAAGCATTCGGGGACACATCAGCTGTATAATTTACAGGTCTTGGAGCAAAATTTTAAAAGTGGGGCTCCTTGTAGAATTTCAAGACAGCTACAGCAGAGCATTAAACCAGTCCCAGATCTTCTCAAGCACAGGGTCCCGTAAGCCTGCCCAACTTGCAGGCCTGTGGAGCCAAATTCTGTGTCCTAAGACAGGCTCTGTTCATATTTATGAAAGAACACATAACAAGTAATGGTGGCTTTTCTCATTGCTCCAGCTTTTCGGTGAGAACTTCCCCCTCTTGTCATGGCTCTGAAAGCTTAGGAGTGGTTGGCGATCAAGCTGATCAACTGTCTCATTTTGCAGAAGCCCACAAGGTGTGGAGTGCTGGACTCTGGCATCTGAGGCCTATCTGCCAGGAATCAGCCCAGGTGGCTTCCTTCCTCCTCCCCTTCCCTCCCACCCAGCTCCAGGTACCCATCACAGACCTTATCTGATACTCCCAGGGCCTCCCATTGCCCTGGGGTTAGATTGTTCTGGCTTGTCAGAAGTAAGGGGCTATCATCCTTGTCTCCCTTGGGGGAGTCATGGAAAGGACTCATAGTGCCCCAGGAAGGTAGGTGCTGACACTATACTCTGATAGTCACTCCCAAAGATGCTTCCAGGCTAGGCATCCTGTCCTGTGTGCTGAGGCGGTTGGAGAGGCTACTGGAAGGCTTCCTGGTTTGACACAGCCTGCTTGCTGGGTGCAAAACTCACCCTTAAGGAACTAGATGGAACAGGGCAGACCATACCCTGTGAAAGACAAGAGCATCAGGCGACAGGCTGGCTGGGCATAGAGGTAGCACAGAGTAGATGCAGCCACAAGGGCAGATGAATGTACCAGGGGAGCTGAGGAAGTACGGGGAGGTGTCAGATGGGCACGCTTTCCTCCAGAGGCAGGCAGGCTGTGTGAGAAGCCAGGCAGGGGACAGGGAATGATTAGCAGGCAGGAGAATGAACCATGCATCTAGTCCCTTGGGCAGCTGCATGCGAAGCAGGCCCTCCTGGGTCCAACTCCATGCCAGGCTGCACAGCTGGCAGAGGGAAACAGGCCAGAGCTCCTGCGGGGCCTCTCGAGGACGGGCTAGGAGCCTGGCTGCTAATGGCCACCTGCTCCTGGCTTGGGTCCAGAACTGCCTACTATCTCTGCCTCTGGGCACCGCTTGCTCCCCGTGGCTCCTGAGCAGGCCCCATCTTAGCAAGCTATACTTTTCCCTGGTGCCCCTCCACCCTCCTGCCCTGTTGCCTCCCATTTATCACGCCACACATTGAGACTTGGAGTTTCCAGAGACCTTGGAGTTGTGAGAAAAGCAGAAGTTGACGGCCTGGCTCCCTCACAGAGCTCCCTGCATTGGGGGGGGGGGGGGGACTGTGGAGGACAGAGCCCAGATCCAACTACCGCCCTGTGGAGAGTGGATTGACACAGACACCAGGCTGTCACTCACCCTGACTGGCACTGAGGCATTCTGACTCTGTTGCTCTGGAGAGGCTCTGTCCAGGGTGGCCCTGAAGCAGCTGTGACCACACCAATATGGCTGTCCCTGACTCTGATGGCCACTGGTTTTTCATGACATGCAGAGTTACAGACAGAAGAAACCTAATTACCTTGGCTCTGGAGCGGCCAGTGGTCTAGGGCCAGAGTGAGATGGTGCAGGGGACTCGCTGTGCCCCCTTGACCATGTTTTTCAGATCTGACACTTCTGTCTTCCTCCCCCACAAGGAAACTGGGTAGGCATTTCGCTGAGCCCTGGAAGAGGCATGAGGCAGGGTAGCAGTTGTGGGAGGGCAGCAGGGTCTCTCACTGGCCTGGAACACGTTACATAGGCTCCATTGGTAGCCAGTGAACCTTGGGGATCTGCTTGTCTGTCTCCCCAGTGCTGAGAGTACATGCGCATGCCGCCACACCCAGCTGCTTTTGTTTTTGTATGGGTCCCAGGAGTCAAACTCAGGCCCCTGTACTGCCTGAGCCATTCCCCCACCCCACCCCCGGGCTGCTGCCACCCCAGTCTCACAATCTATAAGTAACCTTTGCAAATACACAAGCAGCTCCAAGGGGCCAGAGAATTCACTGTGCCCTGCGGTGATCATTAAATTTGCACCTCCTACCAGAGCAGTTGGGTAGGGAGTGGAGGAATCAGGAACTCAGAAGAAAATGGGGGTGGGGCGAGGCACCGCTGTCCTGACCGGCCCCGGCAAAGGGAAAAGCCACTTGCAGTCTTGCTCAGGCCCCTGCCCTGCTGCCCTGACCACCAATGGAGGGGGTATATGGCCGCCCACACTCACTCTGGTGTCCTTCCTGGCCTGTGATTTAGTCAGCGGATTTATTGAACACTTAAGCTGCCCACGGCTGCTTCACCCCTGGCTCATCACTTTGCTTCCCTGTAGCCATTTTCTCCATGTGAAAATGAGGTCAGTAAATCTCAGCCCCGAGGTAGGAGAGCCGGTAACAGCCCTGCTGGTGACCAAACAGCCAGGGGGCTTTGCTCTTCTGCACAGCTGTGGCCCGAGAGAGTCAATGACGCAGTTTGCCTCTAATGGCAATAACAAGGGGTGAGCCTCCATCAGGACCCCTTACCTGATCAATAACTCACTGAATAGATGGCAAACATGGCTGTCTCCAGTCGCAGATCCTAAGTCCCCGTCAGATTCAAGCCCAAGCCAAGGTTAAATGAATGGGTCCTGGTACATTTTGAGTATGTGGGTATAGTGAATTTGCATGTGTGGTGTGGGGCTGTATATGTTATATGGAATGTATTTCCACGAAAGGGGGGCTTTGGGTGGATTGTGTGTGTGTGTGTGTGTGTGTGTCGCCAGGGAAGAAATACTATAGGGGCTTGTAGGGGGTGGTGTGAGCTGTGTGTGGCTTGTGGGGGTAGTATGAAATGTGTGGTTTGTGTAGTGTGTAAGGGGTGTGGTATGTTGCATGTGGTTTGTGGAAGTGGGTGGCTTTGGGGGTTGTGGTCTGTGTGTGGTGAGGGGTGTTTAGTGTGGTATCTGGTGTGGAGGGTGCTGCCCCTGTGGCTGGTGCCTTAGTAGGGTTGGGAGCTCTGGTTACAATTCTCAAAGGCACATGGCAACTCCATGTACATCCGAGTCAGCCCTCCACCTCATGGACATGCAGATTTGTGGTGAGGACCTCCCCTGCAGCACATTTTCGCAAGATCCCAGGTGATTCCTCAGCACACTCGGGGCCACAGCCAGCTGAGTTCACATAGCTCCCCAACACCTGCCTGTGGGGTTTCTGTTTGCTGGAAGACACTTGCAGGGGTGGGGCCCACTTCCACAGCAGCGGTTGTCTCCTTGGGTCACTGTCATCCCCACATGCTAACACTCTCAAATCTTTACTGTTTCTTCAGACTAGCCCCCACTGTTCTGTGCCCTTCAGGGCCTTGTGGTTTTGTGCAGAAATCCTTCATGGTGTTTCTTTATTCTTGGCTGTTTTGTGGGCAGATATTTTTCCAACCACCTTAACAATATCTGCAAGAGCAAACACTTTGCTGTTTCTTTGGTTTCCTTTTTGCTGTCTAGTGTTCTGTGTGGTTCTTTAGTTATTGTTTGTTCTGGTGCCAGGGGTCAAAACCAGGACCTCATGCAGGCTAAGTATACATTGTACCACTGGGCCACATCCCCACCCCTTAAAGTGCAGCCTGTGCTAACCCACTTGCTAAAAGAAAACTTGGACATTACAGAGGGCCTGGACAAACTCCTGGAGCCTGGCGGGCATTGATGGAGTTAGGGTGGGGTATCTCTTCCACTGCCCACACCCCTGCAGCTGGCAGCCTCGTACCACCCATGAAAGCCGTCCGCCGCCTTTACTTAGTAACCATGAAGTTGCGCCAGTTACCTCCTGGCAGACCAGAACAGCTGCAGGTGGCTGTGGCAGGCACAACACCCATCCAGACATCAGGGTGTGCACAGGGCACTAGTGAACTTGTTCATCCGATCTAGGCTCAGTAGCAGCCCTCCCCAACTCCACCTTCCAGCTCAACAGAAGTGAAGACAGCATTCTGTAAGCAAAGTCCCTGCTGCTGCAAGTCATCTGTAGACACCATCTGTAAATGTCATTGGTAGTCCCTATGTAGCAGGGACCACAAGTCTTCTAAGGCAAACAGGCCCTGTGGAGGCCCAAAGAAGTGGCTCCGTTCCATCTTGACATAAGGTCAGAGAGTTCAAGCCTGTTACTGTTCTCTCAAGGTTGAGCCACAGGGATGTTTGGCCTAAGCTGCTGCAGCAGCTTGTATGTCTTGCCTAGACAATAGGATATTTGGCCTAAGGTGTGGCTAATGGATGTCTTACCTAAACAACAGGATATTTGGTTTAGTGTGTGGTTACTTGATGTCTTGGGTATCAAGGAAGTAATTACACTCGTTTGTTTCTTGTATCATGGTAAGGAAGTCTTTTGCCTTTCCTGGGTTTGACTGAGATATATAAGAACTTGGAGCAATAAACTTGGGGCTGATCAGACTCTCTGCCCTTCAGACTCTCCCTTCTGTTTCTTGTCTATTTCTTTCCTCAATCCACACTCCTCCTTTCAAGCATGGAGCAGATAAGGCCCTGGGTGACTTGGGGGTGGGGGAGCTTTCAGGTTTTAATAAGAAGTACACTGACAGAGTCCCCCAAGACGGGTTGCCCAGTACCAGTGTCTTCATAGGCTTATAACCTCCCCTTACCCTTGAGCTACACAGTCTTACAGAAACCATGACCAGAATCTCCTGTCTGGGGACTGAGAACACTCTCTGCTGTGTGGGAAAATCAAAGTAACTCATGGCTGGACAATGCATCTCAGCGCCAAGTCCCAGGGCACCAAGCAGACAGCCTCACCATCTGAGTCCTCCCAGCCTTGACCTCACTAAAAGGGAATCTGGCTTAGTGTTGGAGCTCAGTAGTAGAGTATTTGTTCAATGTGTGTCTGGCCCTGGGGTCTGTCCCCAACACAGTTAACTAATGAATGAATGAAATCCAGGAGAGCCATCCTGGAGCTGGGGGTGTGGTTTGGTGTTACAGTATTTGTCTAACATACAAAAGGCCATACATTTAATATCAGTTCCACAGAAAGGAAGGGGACATGCTATTTGCCTCCAGATGGCCTCTTGAAATGTATACACTTCCATCATTTGCTTCTGAAAAACTCAATAGCTTTACAGAGAGGAAGCCTCCAGCTGTCTCCTACGTAGCCTTGCCAGAGTGGACAGAAAATGATGGCACCACCTAGGCTGTCAAAGGAAGAGTGAACCACAACCCCATTTTGGGATTAAAGGTTACAAAATATTACTTCCCATGGGCATAAAAATTAATCCCTAAAGCAAATTATATCTAAAATATCACTGGATGTCAGGCCTGGCAGTACGTGTCTGTGATCCCAGCACTCAGAAGCTGAGGGGAAGACCAGGCAGCCAGGCAGTCAAGGCTGCCTTGGGCAACAAAGCAAGATTCTGTCTCAAAAGTGAGGAGGCCGGGCGGTGGCGCACGCCTTTGATCCCAGCACTTGGGAGGCAGAGGCAGGCAGATTTCTGTGAGTTCAATGCCAGTCTGGTCTACAGAGCGAGTGCCAAGATAAGCTCTAAACTAAAGGTATACAGAAAAACCCTGTCTCCAAAAACAAAACAATAACAAAAACTGAGGAGGAGGGTCAATTAGAACAACTAGCTTCCCGCATCCTCTACTCTACCCTAGCCCAGCTCCCCTCTTTCCCTATCTTAGGTCCAAAAGTCGAGCATTGCCTCGTCAAGAAGGACCCCTCCGCAGGCTCCCCCAGGAGATGTGGAAGCCCCGAAGGAGGAAGCACATTGGTAGACAAGATGTTTGTCTTCGTATCCCATAGGACTTAGTGCTTACTCTTCCCAGGATCCACCTGGTTCTCCAATCTCTGGGCCTCTGCCGGGGAAAAGAGATGGAGAAGAGGCAACCCGCCCAGTCCAGCAGGTACCCCCGCCCCCCACTCCTGGTGGGGTACAAGGAGAACTCTGGTGGTACATATAGACCTTCACTTTTCCTAAGGGTCATGGAAAGGGGGCCCAAGTGTCTAGACCTGGGAGGGCAACTCTGCTGGGGGGCAGGCAGCCCCCACACGGTAGGATGGACCAGCCCCTGCCCTAGTTGGTGTCTGTGTCCTTAGGAAAGAGTAGCAAAGAAATGGCAGCTGGGAGGACTCAGCAGGAAGACTCAGCTTAGCTCTTGGAAATACCCTGAGGCAGGCTTGTACTCCTCCCCACCAAGAAGGGTTCTCTGTGGCTTTGAGCTCCTCCACTGACTGCCCTCACCTGCCTGCCTCCTTAGGCTCTTCAGACTGGGGAAGTGCACCCTGCTGTTGGCCTTTCTGAAGGAACTGGCTTTCATTTTCCTAGGGAGCACTGAAAGCTATGCTGGCTGGGGAGGCCGATTTGAGGTGTGAAGAAAAGGTGCTGAAGGAGAGCGGTTTCCCTGAAGGAAACCTAGGTCAGCTAGGGCTCGAGGCACCTGGTGTTCATCAGGGCTGGTCACAGTCAGTGGTGTTAGGACTCAGCAGGTTAGGACCCGAAAATTCTTTGTTTTTTCTTTTGTGGGGTGGCAGGGAAAGATGCGGACGGCACTATTTGGCTGATGATAATGCTAAGAACATACGTAGCATTGCGCAGATGAGTCAGAGCTGTGCTGGCGTGGGAAACCGTAAGGGCTGTTTATGACTGGCCCAGCTGGTGCTGACTCCATTCCATCTTGGAACCCTCACAGGTAACTTCATAAGCAGGCTGCAAGTCACACCTGGATCCTCCATCACCGTGACCTGTCAACACTCAGATGTGGCTTGGTTGGACACATTTTCCAGGTGTCACAAGGCAATTCAACACATGGCAGATCAGCCGTCGCTCTGTGGGTGAGGACAAGCATCTAGCAGTCATAGCCAAAGGCTGTGTCCTCAAGTCTTGGAATTCTATCTGCTTTCAGTTTGTATTTATGTATTGGAAACAGAGCCTCCCTGTGTAGCCCACGTTGGCCTTGAACTCACTGTGAAGTCCAAGCTGCTTTGAAACCCCTGGTCCTCCTGTTTTCACCTCCCAAGTGCTACGATGACAGGCATGTGCCACCGAGCCATGATTCCCTTATCTTATCTCTAAGCCAGTGTGTCCAAACCAGGCACTCTTCCAAGGTAATTTTAGCAAGAATTCTCTGCAGATCTATTGCCCCAAACATACTTACATCTGACATGGCTATTTGTATTCCTTCTGGAGTCCTTCTTGCATTGCTGACTTCAAGCAAGCTAATTAATTATTTTAGACACCACTATTAAATCGACACAGTGATTAATCTGATAATCCTTTTTATGAAATTACCTCTAAAATGCTAACTTTTCATCTTTTGAAACCCACTGTGTAAATTACTCTGAAGATTACCTTCTACTGCTTTTGGCTCCGTAAATCTTAATGGCAGTGTTTTTGCCAAAAGCAATAAAAGCTGTCCCGGATTTATCAGGTCAGTCAGGGAAGAGGCAGGCAGGAAATTGAAGGTGACTCACACTGCAAGTGTGGGGGTTGGGCTGAAGAAACTGCTGGAACTTGCCACTGTGGTCACATGCAGCCAGGGCTGCTAGTAGCCTCAAGCAGAGGGGCATACAGTGCCCCGATACAACTGCCAAGGCTCCCTGTCTTGAGAGAAGTGCAGTTCTTACAGGTGGAGGCCTTCTCTTCTTGCCTGCCTCAACCCCCATCATCTCTTCTTCCCAGTGCACGGGGCTGGGTCACACTGGGCACACTACCTGAGCTCAAAGCCATTGCTACTGACCCTGCTCAGTACCCCCAGGACCTCCCCCCAGCAGAGGCAGGGAGCGTGGTTTTGCTCTTGTCTTCCCTCTGTTCTGCCCAATGGGCAGGACGCTGGACCTCAGGTTGACTTGTTTCTGCAGTCAGGGTTTAGATGTTGTTGCCCAGGATTCCCACAGCCTGGCTGTGGCGACCAAACCTATAAAAGCTCAGCATCCCCCTTTCCCGTTAAAGCTTTTTTGCTTCTCTTCTGTTCAGCAGTAACACATTGAACCCCTCTGTGGGCCTTACTGGGTGGGTGCTACCTTGCACTGCAACTTGTAAGAGGCCTCGCTAGACTGCGGAACAGGTGGAGGACATCACCTTCTGAACCTAGGCCCCCAACCATCCAGCCATCTGAAAGTGTTTATTGAGTGTCTACTGTGTTCTGGGCTCTGAGGAACACAGTAGGCACAAGAACAAGGCAAAGACCATTCCTGACCTCATGACAGTGGAACTAGTAGCTAGGCAGTAAACAATATGAGCATGAAGGGAGACGGAAGGAGGGCAGGGCCAGTGGAGGGGAGGCTATCATTTGGGACCAAGGGGTCAGGGCGAAGGCCTCCGGTGTCCCCAGCAGCACCCTGGCTTTGACTCTGCCTCACTGAGATGTCATTTGAATGGAGAACTGGAGATGGAGGCCAGAGGACAAGAACACAGGAGGAAGAACGAGGCAGACGAGCGAGCAAGCGAGCGAGCGAGCCGCTGCCAAGGCCCTAACAAGGAACACGCCTAATTAGCCAAGGCGCAGCAGGACAGCACTGTGGCCGGTCTAAAGGGAGCACAGCTGTGAGACACTGAGGTCAGGTAGTTTTGGAATCTGCAAACCAAGGAAAGAGCTGAGATGTGGTCTTTCTGAGTGTTATGCAAGTGTTGGTCTGTTGCCCCGTTCCAGTCCAGGCAGATCACATGCTTCCACTGGCTCATGGTAGTGAAAAGACCCAGCGCCGGCTGCAGTTTCCAAGGCTTGGAAGCCCCACTGCCAGAATTTACTGTGTGGCCTGGGGAAACCTCACACAGATTCCACAGGTTATCTGTCTCTACTGCTGCCTCTCTGGGGTGGGAAGATGAATAACCCACAACTTCTGTTTCTGCTTTTCTCCTAGCCCCAGCAACCAAATGATAGCTGGTGGATGACAAAGCAAGCTGCTCACCTCCCCCAACCCCCATGGAAGGAGTTTCTGAGGGAGCTAACAGGAACTCTGAAGCCAGCCAGGAGAGGCTTCTGACCTGCTTAGCTTAGCTTGCTCCTCAGAGAAGTCTCCATGTGTGGTGATTATGTGGACAGTGAGTGAGGACCACAGTCGTCCTTGGAGAGTGACAGGGCAGCCTTTGTCCCTCAGGAGGGAGCAGCCCACACCCATCATCCCATGCTCTCATCTGATGCCACACTGAGGAGCTGGGCCAGTCTGGAGGAGAAGGGATGTTGGAGCCTTCCATCAAGGGAGGAGTAGGAACTGGGGGGAGGCCTCTTTCAGACAGAACCTGCCCTTGGGTCTGGGTCTCATCTCACCCTGTGGCTGCCTCTTCAGCTGAGCTGCCACGGAAGGTTTTCTGGAGTTGGCCAGCAAGGTGTATGAGGGTCTAGGCAGGCCCTGACAGCTTTGGCACCTGTTTGATATTTCCTGAGTTGATGGTGGCATATCTGGTGTGAGCCCAGCCCCTGGGGTGCAACTGTGTCTCCAGGTTCCTGCTAGTCCCTCTGTGGCTTCACTGGGGTGTCAGGCCCCTCACCTCCCCTGCCCCAGACCCTGCCTCCAGAACAACCCCATTATGAACACAGCTAGGACCCTTCCTCCCTGTTGCTTTTCCAGTGGGGCCTCTTTTCTCCCTAAAGCACATGCGAGAGAGCCATATCGACCGCCTCTCTAGGTTACCATGGAAACAGAGCTTTTTCTTTCCTCCCTCCTGTTTACCTTGGTCAGGGGACTGCGGCAGAAAGCAGCCTGTCGCTGAACGAGAAGGGAGGGCGAGGGGGACGGGGGTGGGAGCGGGAGGGAGAATCAGCTTGCCTTAAACCAGATCATTCCGGTTCAGAGTGGCTCTCCCCCGCAGCCTTGGGCCCCTCCGCAGTACAGCCCTGCAGTAAGGGTGGGGTGGAGGAAGGGAGGATCCTAACCTGTAAAGCTTGAGTGGAGAAGGCCCTAGACCCATGGTACCCTGTCTGAGTTCCATGTGGACCTCCCTCATTCTCCCCAGGCCAGGGGCCTGGCACCCAGGGCATGCTCCGGGGGTGCTGCCCCAGGGTGGCTGCCTTGTTCCTCAGGTTGTTGTTGCGCGTGTCCACCCCAGGATAGAGAGATGGGAGCTGAAGCCCAGCCCTTGCTCTGTGTACTCTGAGTGCCCTGGCCGAAGCGGCCTCGCCCTGTGTACCAAGAGCCCTTGGTGTGTCCTCAAACTAAATTTCCCAACTAGCTAGCGGCCTTAGAGCGAGAGCCCCGATTACAAATCAGAGCTTCCTGGGCACTGCTTCTTCCCGCAGTTGAGCTGGCTTCTGCCGCAGGAAGGCGTCCTCCCCTCCCAGAAGGCACCAGAAAGCTGGGTGCTGTCCCTGGAAAACCAACTCTCGACGCTCCTCTGACATTTCCTGCCAACTTAGTCTGTCCTCAATGTCCGGTTGGTTACTCTCCTCTAACTTGTTTGCTGGGTAGAACTCCCCTGCCTCCGTGTGCAGTCTGCCTGAACACAAGGCTGTGCCCCTGTGGCATCCCAGCCGGTTGCGAGCACACCAGATGCACAGTTAGCGTGGGCTCGGGTCGGGTCGGGTGGTCGCTGCGAGCCGCCGCGGTGGCCACACGACCTGGCCCGGAGCTACCCGCCTCGCTGCCCGCCAGGGGGCGGCAGAGAAACCACCCTGGTCGGCTTCTCGGCCATCTTACCTTCCGAAACCCCTGACCTGGCTCTGCGGCCGGCCCGCAGTGTGGACACTGGGAGCTTTGCCGGGACAAGCGACTGGCGGTGGCACCTGGGCGACCGGTGTTTGCCTCCAGCACGGCTTCCTGGCCCAGCCCCAGGCTTCACCTTGCTGCACCGCGGCTCGGCGGAGCCACGCCCATCTGGGGAAGGGTCCCTTCCTTTAAGCGCTCCTGCTGGCGGTGGCCCTGGGGGCACGGGAGGACGCAGGGAAGGTGAGCGCTCTGACCAACAAGACCCCCTCGGCAAGCACTCTTCGGCTGACCTTGGCCTAGCCTCCTGTGAAATAAGACTAAGCCCATCAGGCTTATGTTCCAATATAATGTTTTCGGTTGGTTGGTGTTTGGTTTGGTTTGGTTTTGAGAAGCCCCGGCTGGCCTGGAACTCACGATGTAGACCAGGCTGGCCTCAAACTCAGAGACTCACCTGCCTGGGCCTCTCAGGCAGGTGAAAAGCACGTGAGCACCACCACACCCGCTCCACACCAATTAGCTATGCAGAGAGCGTCTGCAGAAATGCTGGACTGACAGCAGACCCGGCTCTGCCACCGAGGAGGGAAAGGAAGTCGCTCCTGCAGTCTCGGACCCGTGGTGTGCTGGCAGCTGTGAGCAGCCCCGGTGTCCATCATCCCTAAGAGTTCCATCTGCGTGGAACCGAGTTTGGTTGTTGGAGGATGGAGTTCTCGCCGTAAATAAGGGCCTCGGCCACCTGGCTGTAAATAAATTTTCTCTCTTACAAGCGGTGGGAGAAACTTTGGATATCTGCAGTAAAGACCAGAGCCTTCTCAGCTGACTCTTGCTTAGCAGCTTTAGTTAGAAGGTTCAAGAAAAACAAACTGATCTGCCTGTCCCTTCTGAGTTGACACACCCTGCCTGCCTGCCTGCCGGCAGCCTGCTCTCTTTTTCTTTTTCTTTTTCACACATGCAATTGCTGTAAAGATCCTGTCTTGGTGTGAGTACCAAAAAGTGGCCCAAGTGTGCAGCCACCCCTGTCCTCCTCACTAGCCCTAGGGCTGCGCTGCAGAGCCCTACTGAGCAGGCTGAGCAGTCTCACTTGTGTGCCCGAGGCTACGGTGTCGGGCCTTGGTGGAGTGAGATGGTGAGTATGCTGGGTCTCCTCGGCATATAAGGGCCCTCCAACTCTTGTCGCCTGGTTAACAGGGAAAAAATGTAGTACAATAACATTCTTGCTGGAGATTATGAAGGCACGAAATAGTGAGGAAAAGCTTTGGGCAGACAATAAAACCACACACTTAGCACAAGAGACTGGCTTTTGTGTGTGTGTGTGTGTGTGTGTGTGTGTGTGTGTGTGTGTGTGTGTGTGTAAGTGTAAATCTATCTCCTCCCCCTTCATCCCCCACCCCAGGTCTGGCACTTAAAAGGTTCCCAAACACCAGGCCTGCATCTGAAACTGTGAGGAACTTAACAGCCACACCCTTTGAGTCCCTCTAACTACGGACTTAGCAAGAACACATACATTCACAATATCCAGAAAAACAAGATGCTTGCTTTATGGAGAGCGAGATGCTGAGGATCCAGCCAGGGGCTCACCTGTCCCGTGGACGTGCTAGGTAGGTCCCCATAACCTTACTGCATCCCCAGTCCCCACTCTACTCTCAGTGCTACTGTGCTAGCCGTGTAGGCTGTGGTGGCTTATTTATTGATGTTATTTGTTTTAGATACTATCCTTTTCATCTCTAATTAAAATGTCACCTAAATGACTGTCTCGATTTGAGACTTCCCTGCTCTAGAGAGCAGCAATGACTAACAACTATGCAATAGTGTCATTAGGCGCCAGTCTAAGCACTTTACATAGCCATTTAAGTATCAGGAGATACTATTAATCCCACTTTTGGGAAAATGACACTAAAGCATTTTACTGTTATTTCAGGGGTTCTCAAGAGAGGGAAGAGACAGGCAGGCCTGTGATCAAACTGTCATCCTAACTTCAGGGTATGTCATCCATCCTGGCCTTAGCTCTGCAGTTCTCTGCTGGACAGTTATAATAGGGACAAGGAAGACAGGGAGCAGCCGTGGGACAGGGTCCCCAAATCTCTTACACCAGCTGAGTAAGAACTGAAATTTGTTAAAACAGCATATCTACCGTAACTGGGTTTGGGGGATTTTGACCTCATTTAATAAATCTGTATCATTTTTTGAATGATTACTGTGTGAGAAAGATAACCCTGGGAGGTGTAGCTCTCCTGCTTTTGTGTGTTCTTCCCTACTGTGCTATCCTACCCCATTCACAGCACCCACTCTGCCAAAAAGTGAGCATGCCACATGCCACAAATGCAGCACTCACACCTAGTCTACATAGCTGACCCCAAACACAGCGGGACCAACAATCAGAGTATCGGATCAAAGGGTACTGGCCACCCTAGGCCAGTTATAGAGTTGTACAGCCTTTGGCCAGCATTCCTACTCAACAGGCTGTCTGACCTATAAGGGTCCTTGGGAATCATCTAGTCCATTTCTTCTGACTGATGAGTAATCTAAGGCCCAAGAAAAAGTGAGTTATGTGGAGGAGGCATGCTACCAACAGATACGAGTAGAGCCCCATCCCAACCCCTCAGGTCTTTCTAAAACTGCCCTGTGGTTGGAGCTGTGTGTGTGTGTGTGTGTGTGTGTGTGTGTGTGTGTGTGTATTCTTTAAATCAAGTTCAAAATCCAGTTTCTCTGTCACAGTAGCCACTGTTGGAGGGTTCGATGTGGTTAGTGACTGTCACCCTAGTGGACAGAGCAAAGAAAACATGTCCTTCATTAGAGAAGGCTTTATGAGTTATATATAGCACGATGACTTTTTGTCTGACTGCAGTGCCACGGTTAACCACGAGATAATGTGGTGGCACTAGTAGCTCTGGAATAGTTTTCTGACAAACTAGAATTTTATAAATGTAATGAGAAAAACAGAATCATGCAAACCAACTGAGATAACTGCAGCCCTCTCCCCCCCACCCCTCGCTTAGGAACCCTGTCAAATGCAAACAAGAGTTTTTCAGGGACTGAAGGGTAGCTTGGGAGTTTAGAGGAGCCACCCATGCCAGATGGCTCACAACCACCCAGGACCGGAATGAGTGCTGGGATTAGAAGTGTGCACCACCATGCCTCTGGCAGATCAAACGTATGAAAGTTTGTGTTAAATCTGACAGGAGCACATTTTAGGAGGAAAATAAGCTGAAGGAAGGAAGACTGACCGCACAGGACTTTTTATGTGCTGTCTGTATGGTGGATGAACCAGCACAAACCCTTTCTCCTCCTCTTTGTAGATTCACATTGTAACAGCAAAGAAATCTGTCCTTAGAAAAAGCCAATAGAAACAGAAATGAGTGTGTCCAATTCTAGAAGGCAAGCAGGCCTTAAAGTGACCCGATGTGGATGGGGTATCCTCATCTACTCTGGATTTAATGGTTGAGACATACTGTTGGAGAAAGGTCAGAAGGTGAAGCAGGATAAGAACTGTGGCTTCATCCTGAGGATCCCAGGATGGGACTCTGCTCCAACTCCGGCCTTTTCTTTGGATTGTGAAGTCCTATTCCCAGGGATCACACTGTTCCCAGGGATCACACTCCCCTCAGACTTCCCTGTATCTCCTCCAACCCTTCAGGGAAGCCTCAACACTACACACCTGCTCAGCAGTGGTTTGAAGTATATAAAATGGTGAAACGAGGGGGCCTGTCCCCCAGGTGCACCCTTGCAGAGAGCCAAGTTCTACTGAGACAGTTACTGTGTGTCCAGGAGTTCTGGAAGTGAGCAGACAGAATCCATCACAAGGGTGGAGTGGTAGCGGAGGGCCCACGGACAGGAGAGAGCAAAGCTGATTCTAGTGGGGACTGAGGGCACACCGTGAAGCGGGGAGGGTTGCTATGCTATAGGTGTGTCAAAAGGTGAACTCACACATGTGTACAAATTACTGCAGACAGCCATGGTGACTTGGACCAAGTATGTTTAGAGATTTATTGATCAGATTGTTTTAGAAAACCAACAGCAAACACTGACAAGGTAATAAGTACAGACTGGACATTTCAGGGTAGATTTACTTGCTTGTAGGAAACCAGGGGAGGTGGAAAAGCTGTCCTGATCACATGGCATGCACACCAGACTGCAAAAGGACATCCACACTATTTAACAGGACTGTGGCAAATAGCTTTAAAGTAAGGCAAGCACTGTGTATGGCCTCGCAACCTGCGGGAAGAGCCAAGCCTGGCCCAGCCTCAGAGCAGCTCCAAAGAGAAGGCCTTCCTTTCCAGCCTGTCCCTCCAGTGTCCCGGGAGGTGTCTGCACTCTCCCTGCAGACTCCACCAGTCAGTGTGTTTCCTGATGCCTCCTCTCCATCCCTGATGCCTAACGAGTACAACAGCAATTACTGCCACTTAGTGAAACTGGCCTTTTCTCAGAAAACTGCCTCGGACTCAGCCTGTGCAGACTAGGCGGGGCCTTAAAAAACTTCTCAAAGGTTTAAGACAATTCACATGGCAAGTACCCAAGAAGATGGCACTGCCTCTGAAGCACAACTCAGAACTCTGTTTATGACACTAGACAAGGGGAGATTTTTTTCTTGCAAATCTCACAAACTAGAAGGGTGACTACACATGGACGTTCCAGAACCCCACTGAGCCTGCTTCAGACCCTGCCAATGCTTCCAGAGTTCTAAGGTACCTAGGGACCAATGGAATTTACACCTATAGTAACCAGTTCTTGAAATGCATGGCTATAACAATAAACCCTCATTTAACCCTCAAGTCCAACACCAGAACACAAGAAAGAACAAAAGGGAAAATGACTTTTTGTGCTACATCAGAGTGTTGGTGGGAGGGCCACTGTGTCACCAAGACCACAGAAACCAAACTGACTTTAGAGGAGACAAACCCAACACAGTCCAGGAGAGTGGTGTGCCTTTCCTGCACACCAGGCTATATATCAGACTGGAGAAGGCAACGCAAAGGAAAAAACAAAAACAAAAACAAACAAACAAACAAAAACAGAAAAGCAAGTTTTGTCAAGAGCCAAATAAATGTGTTCAAATGATGGTTTCCTGTTTGTGTGAGACATGGAGGGAAGTGTTCTCTGGTCAGGAGGCAGGAGAGAACTCAGCAGCAGACCATGCTCAAGGACACCGTGGCACCTCAGGGTTACCACCCGTGGCTCCATCAACTTCAACACCTCTAAAGCTACCTGGGGCCACTGGAGTGGTGGCTGCTGCTAGCCCCTCTTCAAGCTTCCTTTCCTTTCCTAACTACTAGTACCTTAAAAAGGAGATGTTTGTGGGGGAGGAGTAGGAGAAGGGAAAGATATGTAAAGAAATCAATTGTTCAACAAAAAAGTTGAAACACTGATTTTCTGTGGATTTCAACTGTCTGTGCTTTTATCTTGCAACTGTGGAGAACCAAAGGTCACTGTCATACTTTTAATCTAGAAATGTTAATATTTTCATTTTATATATATATATAGTTTTTAAATCTAGCTCTGTGCTGGACATGAGTGCTATAGAGCAAGCTTTTATATCAAGTCACTGGGTCCTGAAAGGGGGCTTCCGCCAGTGGAAAGCAGGTAAAGATTCAATCTATTATATACTGGTTTGCAGTTTATCTGTGAAGTGGAAAATACCTTATAGTGATGGAAGCATCATCTAACAAGGTATTATATTCCCAGATAAATTAGTGTATTAGTTTAGGTTCTAATTCTTCACTTGGGCAACACTTTCAAGTGAACTTCCTTATTCCTGGGCAAGACATGCAAATAGAAGACAGTACAAACTGGGAAGAGAAAAAAATCCCAACTCTAACAAACCAAGGAACAGTAATCTTCCTTTTTTTATGAACTAGAATAAGAAAACGTAGACTTGAAAAAAATCCAGCTTTACCAAGAAGTTGGCTTATGATCACACTGAAAATCCTTGGCATAATTTTAGTCTAAAGCAATCAGCTGTCTTGCCCAAGATAGGTACAGAAAGTAGAGTAGTTGCTATATAGTCATCACTTCTACACAATCTGTATAGACCATGTTTCTATATATTGCACTTCCATTCCCAGGACTGCAGGAAGATGGCCGGCAGACCTCAAAGAGGCAGAGGAGCAGCAGGCATCATAGCCTTTCCCACGCCAGGAGATGCCATCGGGATTCCAAGTGCTGGTTAGAGAGAAACTAAAATGCTGGTGACCCTTAGGGAAAATCCAGTCCCATTTACTCTAAGGGCTTATCTACAGTCATTTGGCATCCAGAACTTGTACATACGAGTGTCTTACAGTACTCACAGCTGCTCACTGCACCATTTTCACTAAAGACACTTTAGACCAAACATGTACTTATATACATATGGTCGTTGATGTCAGGCCTCCAACATCCATCTCAAAAGGCTGAAAAGGATGCCCAAAAGTGCGGCTTGAATCAGGCCTCTCTTTACATTGTTCTAGTGTAACAGAACCAGAGACCTTTTTTTGTATTCTAAGGACCATGCAAGTCAAAGCAAAGGCTGAACAAATCAGTCTTTGGTCCCTACATAAACCAATGACAAAAATCCTTCTGTCATCCTAGAAGACATAGCATATTGGTTCAGGATGTAGTACCGCCATGGCCCAGAGAACTGGCCTGGAGTCACAGTTTCAAACTCATAGAGCAGCTCAGGCTGACTTACTCTGGAGAGGGCTCCTAGATGGTAAGAGGTCAAAGCCTCACCAACAGGGAATGGTGAGATTTGGGGGAAGAGACCCCTAGAAGAGCAGCTCCATTCCCTCCCTGCTCAGAATGACCCAAACTCATAGATAAGTGCTTCTCACAGGATGGCGAGCAAAGGCTCCACCAACAGCCCACATGGATGGGACATAAGGCCTGTTGAGAGAAGTCAAAAGACTGCCCTAGGAATGCACACTGGGCAGGAACTTTTTAACTATAAATTAAAGGTGACTTTAAATCCACACAAATTAAAGAGATCTTTTTTGGGCTAAAAGAAAAAGAAGAATGTTAAAGCCAGGTGAAAAAGAGGCACTTAAAGGAAAAATGTGTTCAAAATCTCCTGCACGTGTCTCCTCTGTAACGGGCTTACAGGAGGGCCTCCCCCATCGAGACTGCACCCATGGATAGATACCCAGAGGCTCACCCGAGCAGTCCCCTCAACTCTTCTAGTAGTCTGAGGACAAAACAAGTGAAAACTTAGGTCAGTTTTCTTCCTGGATTT